CCTTTTAATAAAGTTCCTGAACCTGACAGCTTGATGACGGTTGTAATGAGTGTCATAAGATACTCTTTTCTCAATGCGACCTGATGGAGTTAGGTGCAGAAACAGTTAGTGGCAATATTTCCAAAGATTGAAGTAGAGTTTAGGGAGAAACTGGGTGATTTGTTTCCATACGACCTGTACTTTTGTGAGTTGGGCCGAATTCACATCCCACGTACGCCTCATCTACATGTCAATTAGTCACCGTAAGAGAAGTACAATAATGAAAAATGTCTTTCAAGTACAATTATATCACTAGTTATGCGTTAGTCAATAAAAGGCAGCGGGAACGAAGATAATATTAAAATTAACAAACGAACAAAGGAAACCTTTGGGATACAAGAAAAATAAAAACTGACCCGAAAAGAAGATCAACTACGTCATGCAAATTATCCACATAAAAACCACAAAACAAAAACTTACTGCATCGATAAAAGAAGTTACTGTTCATAAATCAGTGTTATCCAGCTGAAACTCACCAGTTCGTCCGTTGATAACAACACCATTAAAGCCACGCCTGTGTAGAGAATAATCCCTTCGATTGACTCGTATGTAGGCCCGTGAGCGTCCGTATAAGGTTCGGCCACGTTTCTTATCCACGTAGCCTTGACTCTCTATCGATACCTGAATGAACCCTGCAAGTTGAGGTGATAATTCAGGTTATAAACTCTGAATGATTAATTTTTCTGATAATAATCATGATTTGAAATAGAGGCAGTGTGTGTCCGTTTCGAAAGAGACTCAAATTTGATATGAGATTGTTTTTTTGCAATTTTTTACAGAAAGATGAGGGCCAGTTACTTTTGGAAGGCTGCGAATCTCTCCCTTAAAAGACAGATGTGATATATAAGCCTGTCAGAAAAAGCTATTACAACTTTTTCGTCTCGTTGAAAACTTTATAAAATTTTATGCCCGACTTCGATGAACGTAACTGATCATGAAATCAGAGTTAGGTCTGAATAATTCTCTAGCCCTGGTTACTTTACGATACACTGATATATTTGTAAGAAAAAGCAAAAATATCAAAATATCATATATGGTGGTGAGTTTATTCGGTTATTCACTTGTAGTTCTTCCTTAATAATACAGAGTTTTCCATCTTAAAAATGGTTTATATCGATTATCAAGTTATGGTGTCGCAACTTTTGATATACATAAAAAACTTACTCCTTCCGTGTGGTCTTACTGCAGGTCTCACAGGGCGTGTACCTGTAAAACACACCAGCTTCAAATCAAAATGAAAAGTGCATGAATGTTTTCATTACTCTCACCATGACAATGAATGTTCTTGTTTATACAGGCAAAATATATTATACTAAAATTAAGTGACATACCTCTGCATGCTCGTCGTTGTATTGTTCCCACTATAGAGCCCAACTGTCTAAACCCGGCTGTTATCACGTGACTTCGATGTCCTGCCGCTATTTGTAAGAGCTGTCTTCTGTTGTATCTCCGACCGATTCCAACCGCATAACATTTGATGTTTCTTCGTCGGAACGAATTGGCAGGAGACACCACATTGTCCTGTGATCTTCCATCAGTCATTACTATAGCAACCTATGGACAAAAGATCATACTCGTGTCAAGGCTAGAGAGAAGGAATATCCAGTTTTTCTGCAAATTTAAAGTGGTGCAAATGGCTTAGACATTCAAGGAGTTTAGATATATACCTTACGAACACCTCTCCGCGCATATCGGAACACCCGGCTATAACAATACCGCATGGCATATCCGGTCCTCGTACCACCCCTGGGGTATCGTATGCGATTAATGGCATTCAGAATCTGCCCTTTAGAACGATATCGTCTAAAGTCGAAAATCAGCCGAGGTCTGGACGAGTACAGTACGACTCCTACACGGGTTTGTCCGCCTCTGAAGTTAAAGCGGCTGACAATCGCTTTGACAAAGTTGAGACATCGTCGGAAGTTTCCTCTGCCATAAGCCTCGATACTTCCTGAACCATCGATGATGAAAGCCAAGTCAACCCGAGCACGGCACGCTGCAATTAGATACAAAAAACATCCATAAACACTCAGTTGCAATGTATACTGCTACTTGTAATTTCAAGGCTTTTGATTGACTTCCTTTATACAAAACAACTCTGATTGGTTAATATGCGAGTCTGTCAGGCATCATATTCGTTTAAGGCAAATTATAGTTTGTAATCTTTTTTGTTTAACCGCCATGATCGGTTTTTTTCGTTATGTTATTGCAAAGCTTAAAATGACAAATGCGCCCTGTGGAAAAAGGGTGACATGACACTTGAATATGTTCTCGGATTCGTTGGCTTCATTTTTTGAAAGATAAAAGTGGCTTTTAATCTTTCAAATGCTTACAAGAACGGTCGAGTGTTGTGTTATGTTCTTATTAAAGTAACAACGTCCCACTAAAACTTACTTCTCGATGGCCTTGGTCTTGGAGGGCGACGACCTGCAAGCAAAACACAGCACTTTTGAATGCAAATCATACCTTAACGCTTTCTATTATTATTTTACGACATCCTCGTGCCGAGTCCTTGTTGAAGAAAGCGAGACAAACTACACAATTATAGTGAGAAATTAGAAAGTCATCGGAACCTATTCCGAAGAAAAAAAAAATTTTTATAATGTATAGGGAAGTAAATATGTATACTAAATAACGTTTATCGTGGCGTGTTTCTCTACTGGTTTACTGGCCGCTTCGACCGATTTGAAAAATACACAAGCAAGTGAAGAATTGGCCGGGTTGGGAGTCATACAGGGATGCACTTCTGTGATATAGACCAGGTGCAGGACATGCATGCGGAGAAGGCAAGTTTATCTATTCGGCAGAGTTCAATAGAACCACAAAGTAAACAACTACACTCTTTTACTCGAAGCTTTCGTTGAAATTCAAAGTAAACCGTCTTTAAACACGTTCTCTCTCCAATGCAACAAAAATAGCTTTGTGTAAAAAGCTGTGACAGTCAGCTTCACCCTTTATTTATGGTAGGTAACTTACCAAATCAATTTACGCGCCACTAGCCAACTAGTTGCCCTGGCGCACTAAATGCAACAAAAATTGCTTTAAAAATAACTATTAACGTACCTCCAGACAACGGAATGCGCTATCGACCACTGAGGGATGTTTCCTCAGTAGATCTTTCAACTTACCTCCAGACAATGGAATGCGGATGTTTACGTAACTTGGGCCTCGTCTCTGATGGCGACTCATCGATCGGATCCAATATGGCCTGCGACCCACATAGCCACACCCAGCAAAACTACTCCTGTAACTGAATCTGTGTAT